GTTAGTTAATGGATGAAACTCTTCATTTACTCCATTGAGAATTCTGTCTATTCCTTCCTAGGACTTCGACTTCACTATTTCAGAAAAAAAAAAAAAAAAAGCCTCACCTTTATTCAGGGTAGTTTAGAAAAGCATAGCAAAGCTCTAAGATGACATCCTAAATCCAAAGAGTTTGGATTTACTTTTCCTTTTGGATTTACATAGATTTACTTTCTTGCTACAGTTGGGAACACCCAGGTTTAATATCGTTTAGTTCCTAAAACTGTTTTTCTGCTGTTAAGCGTATTAAACAATTCATTTCTTTACATGAGTACTTAACACTGAGTACTCACTTTGGGAACTTGACTCACCTCGAGTCATTTTTATCTTGATCAGAAGAATTATTTCAAACACTTTTGTTTCACCAGCATCTTGCCATGAATACGGTCGCCAAATACAAGTGGGGACTGATCAAGAAATAAGTTGCTCGGTGTTCAGGGTTTAATTAGATGATTTTTGTCCCAAGACATATTTTTCCTATGTGATCAGTCCAGTGCTGTTATCCTTCCTAAAGGGATCGTGGGCGCAGCTCTTGGGAGCCAAACCACCACGTGAGAAGCCCTGTTTCCTGGTAGCCACAGGTCCCACCCTGCACGACTGGAAGGTTCCAGAGACTGGCATGGGCCTCCGGACTCCTGTTGTTCATGGGTAGAGCCTGTAAGTCCACCTCCTGCTGAGGGCCAATTCCTTACGCTGGGATTGATTCCATTCACCCCACTTCTGACGCTGCAAGAAGATGGGCGCATCCCATGCTCTTGAATCTCTCTAAGTTCCTGATCATTTCCACGCTGGCTTCTTAGTCTTTCAGTATCTTCCTGGATTCCCCAAGCCCTTTTAGTGTCTTTCTGCCTAATGTATACAAATCAGTCTGTAGACCTTAAAGGAGAATCCAGATAAATACAGAGTCATATGAACAGAGCACCATCTGTAGATGATGGCTAAAACTCTTCTGTGGAGGTTTATAATTATTGTTATGATTAAAACTGGAATCACATTTGCAGCTACAACTTTACAAAACACCAATAGGGACAAAGTGAAGCACAGAATTCACACATCCTTTTTTACAGACTGATTTTTGGAGATAGGATTCATGTATGAGACAATTCACCTCTTCCAAGTCTACTATCCAATAATGCTTTATAAGTTCACAGATGTGTGCAACCGTCATTACACTCAACTGAATGACAATTTCATCGACTCACACAAAAACTCCTTTAACTATCATCACCCCCATCCTCCCATGTTCTCCCCAACCACTAATCTACTTTCTGTCTTGTTAAATTTTCCTGTTTTGGATTTTCATAGAAATGGAATTATATAATGTATTAGTGGGCTGGGCCGCTATAACAAAGAAGTCATAGAGTGGCACCCATTTAAACAACAAACATAGTTCTTACAGTTCTGGAAACTGGGAAGTCCATGATCCAGGTGCTAGCAGATCTGCTTTCTGGTGAGAACTAGTTTCTTGGTTCACAGGTGACTACCTTTTTATTGTGTCCTCCCATGTTGAAATGGACAAGGGAGGAATTTTTCCTATTTTATTTTTATTTATTTGTCTATTTTATACTTACTTTTTATTATTCTGCATTTTGTACATTTTCTCATCTCAGCTGTAATCCTCGTAGACTTCCACCACCACTTCACCCATGTGCCATCACCATAGTCCCGTGTGCTCTTCCCATCCCAGTTCTGTTCCTATTCCTCCTCCCCCATAGAATGTTTCTGTTTTACAGTTGATAGTTGATGTTCTTTTTTTAGATTATTACAATTATTACATATATATATATATATATATATATATATATTTTCTTCTTGATCACTTACACTCCTGCTATGAGTGAAACCATAGCAGCATTTTTCTTTTTCTTTCTGGCTTATTTCACTAAGCATGATCTTTTTCAGCTCCATCCATGTTGCCACAAATGGCATAAGTTTATCATTTTTGATTGCTGGGTAATATTCCACTGTGCATATGTACCACATCTTCTTGATCCAGGCATCTATTTTTGGGCATTTAGGTTTATTTCTGAGGTAATAATGGGTTACCCACATCAGGTATTTCTACCACCGCACACCTATCACCAACTCACCCATATTCTGCCACCATCACCCACTGTCCATTGTGCTTACTTCCTTCTTTATTCTTTTTTTAGTATATCTGGATGATTTATTTATTAATTATTTCTATAGGGGATTTTTTTCCTATATCATTATTCATTTTTGAACAATATTTGATTTCTCCCCTCAGATTCGTAATTCCCATAAATGTCCCAGCACCACATCACCCATGAACCATCACTGTAGGTAGTCCCTTGTGCTCTTCTCATTCCTGTTTTGATCCCTCCTCCACCACTCCCCAGCTGTATGTCTCAGATCTATAAATTTGCCTGCTAGTTTTTTCTTGATTCTTTGTTTTGCTTCCTTATATTCCTCCTGTTAGTGAAACCATCTGACATATTTCCCTTCTCCTTCTGACTTATCTCACTGAGCATGGTCCCTGCCAACTCCATCATGTTGCTGCAAATGGCATGAGTTTATCTTTTTGATTGCTGACTAGTACTCCATTGATCCACTTGTCTGGTTTTAGGCATTTAAATTGCCTCTATATCTTAGCTCTGTAGTAAATTGCACTGAAATAAGCATAAGAATGTAGGTTTCCTTTTGAATTAATGTTTTTGTGTCCTTTGGTAGATTCCTAGGAGCAGAATTGCTGTGTCATGTGGTAGCTCCATTTTTAGTAATTTGAGGGTCTTCCACACATGGGCAAGGGAGTCTTCTTGAGACTAGTTTATAAGTGCCCTAATCTCATTTTTAAGAGCTCAACCTTCATGACCTAATCACCTTTCGAAGACACCACCTCTAGTGAATTCGGGGGGAACACAAACATTCAGTCTATAGCATATGTTAGGTGACTAGCTCCTTTCACTTACTATAATGTTTCCATCAATACTTCATTGTTATTAATGCAAATTCCACTGTATGAATGGACCATATTTTTTACATCCATTCATCAATTGTAAGCACTTGAAATTATTTCCACCTTTTTGATAATGTAAACAATGCTGCCATGCACACTTGAACAAGTTTTTATATGAATATATGTACTTAGTTCTTTTGGGTCTATATTTAGAATATCTAGAATTATCTATAATTCTAGAATATATCTGGAATTACTAAGTCACAGGGTAACTCTATATTTCATCATTCAAGTAGCTGCCAGACTGTTTTCTGTAGCATTTTTGCATTATTATAAAAGTCAGTTGACTGTTGGTGGCTTTCTAAGTTTTCATTTCACAAAAAGCCCAGCTAGCAAATTCCTTTTGCAAATTTAATTGTACATACTGCTGGGGAATTTTATGAAAGCCGACTAGCTTTCCCCTGGCCACTGATCCACTCATGCATAGTGTTTCCTGTCCAGTGCCACCTTTCCAAAGGAGGAGACATCATTTAGGAGAATCTGAAAATGGTGTGCCAGAAAGAGGAACAGGAAAGCGGAAAAGATGAGAAGCATGAAGAGATGTTGACCACACACCTTCACCACAGGAGAAAGGCGGGATCAAATAAGATCTGTGCTACATAACTAACATGCCCTGGCAGTGTAGGAGAAAGAACAAACGAGATCATTTTAATTAGATTAGTTCTTTTTCCCAAAACCACATTGTACAGGGGGAATATAAAAAAAAAATCTCTAGACTGTAAAAAATTACATCTCCTGCTCTAGAAAAATTTCAAAGTACCTGAGATGCCAGCTGTAACTCAAGCAGATGAGCCTCTTAATTCTCTGAGCCCACTTGTATATCTCAACAGCTTCATTAAATCCTATAATTAAAAATAAAATGTGCTCAGGACCTCCCTGGTGGCGCAAGGGGTTAAGTCTTAGCACTTAAGGAGCTATCTGCAGTCAGTGCACCGCGAGTCCTAACCCCGGCCAGGGGCTGACCCACATGGCCCAGCAGACCTCTCCTGTCTCCCTGTTGCTCCCCTCAGCAATGGATTTCAGTGGATCCACCTGTTCTGCTCCCCACTCTGTCTCTGATGAATCCTCTCTCACACACACACCTCAAGCACCTCTGTCCCCCCAGTTCTTATGTGCATAAGTAAATATATCTTTTAAAAATAATAAGTGATCCATTGATCACAATAAGGAACCTGTGAGGAGACGGTATTTTTGCTCTGATGACTGGTTTGCCCCTGAATCTCTAAAATCGCAGCTCTGCCCTCATCTGCTTGTTTGCTCAGATCTGACAGCAGGAGCCCCATCAAATATCCCAGGGAAGCCCTGGCAAGTATGTTCCTTGCTGAATCTATCCCTTTCACCTCTCTCATAGGACACCTGTTCTGGGCGTGGCCGCCTCTCACCTGGACACCGGCCCAGGCTCCTGTCTCAGTCCACCCTACTCTCTTTTCTACCTCCAGCCTGTTCTCCACACAGCTCACGCTGGGACCACTTACCTTGCCCAGACCCACAGCGCCGCCACGACCCCCTTTCACAGAGCAGCAGACAGCAACCCTTGCGGCAGTGCCGAGAATTTGCATACCAGCCAAAACCTAGTGATGAGCCTTCTCCACAGCCATGTCCCACCAGTTGAGTCCTTGGATAGTGGCCGTGCCCAGGTAAAGGCTTTCGTGCTGGGGCTTTGCTCCCAGGCATCACAGACCCCCCAGGCTCTCTTCTCCCATCTCACAGCCCTGCCAAACACAGCCGGCTTACCCTTTACCACCGACCTCCGAAAGAGACTCAGAGAGCCCTCACTGTGCCTCCAGAGGTACAAAGGAGAGAGAGGGGAGGCTTCATCAGATTGTTCTGCTAAGGGGAGGAAATATCAGTCAGATTGAGGAGGGCCCCTGTGGGGCTCACAGGACTCAGAGCCATGCATGTCTCGAGGCTGCTGACAGAGCAGAGTGTATTGTGAGAAACATACCACTCCTTGAGCAAACCCACAGACCATGCCTACCGGCAGATGGCGTTGCTACAGGCCTGCCACACCTCCAAGCAGGGCATCTGGTCAACTCTGCAAAAAAGTGAAGCTTGGAAATTCAACCGAAAGACTCAAGAGCTGCTATGCTCTCCTGAGGTGCTGCTTCGCTCTTCCTCCAGCAAAGGCCCCACAGCCAATGCTGCTGAGGCTGAGCTGAGGGAGGCTTGGAGGTGTGGGTGCAGCCCTGAGTTCAGGACAGCTCCCTGCCTGCTCCTCTCTCGGGGTGTCCACCAAAGGACAGGACTTGGGCGAAGAGCCATTAAAGGAGAAGCCTCCCTAAGAGGTGTTCATAGCATGTGGGGTATGTCAGGCTAAGTGCAAGTGAGCCTTGAAATTTCAGGAGAAACTGTTACCACTCCCTTAATGATCTAGAAGAATGAAAACAGGGAGTATTACCCAGATTGACAGGGCTTTTTTTTTCCCCCTTCCAGAAATAACCCTACTGTTGGGGAAACCTGTCTATCAGACAGGGCACCCTGCAATCACAGAGACCCTGGTCCTTTTGTCTCGTGAGGACCCCTCTTCTCTCCTTGACGGGTCAGGCCCCCTCCCTCTCCTTTGTTCAGGAAATACACACTCGTGTTGTCCTGTTTACTTTGGCATTTACAGCCAAGTGAGTCTCCACACATCTGCAATTAAACTTACTTCCTTTTTTCCTGCTCATCTTTCTGATACTGCTTTGACTCATGGGCCAGCACAGAAGAACCCAGAGATATGGGGAAAATTCCTCTCTGCTCTATATCATGAGGACTAACCAGAGGGGTCACGGTATTCTAGGGGGGCAAGGCCCGAGAAAGAAGGGTTGAAGTCCTCAGTCCTGGGGAGCAGGGGGAAGCGAGCCCCAGCAGGCACCTGGAGGACCGCTAAACCCTCGGGTGGGTTTTCCACACTGAGGCACTGATGCTTTTGTGACAAGTGACAAATGCGGCCCTCTAACTACTTGGTACCTAAAATAAGCTTTTTTTTTTTTTTAAGATTTATTTATTTATTCATACAGCACTGGGGTACAGGCCAGAGATGCGGAGGGTGAGAGGATTCACCAGAGACAGAGTGGGGAGCAGAACAGGCAGGTCGATGAAGTACACTGCTGAGGGGAGCAGCGGGCCGGTCAGGAGAGGTCTGCCGCGCCATGTGGTCACCTCCGGGGCGGGTGGGGATCAAACTCATGCGGAAGTGGCTTTAGCTTCTTAGTGCAGTGCTTTAACCTGCTGCGCCACCAGGGAGAGCCTAAAATAAGCTTTAAATAAAAAGCCTGGTCCTCCCAGTGTCCAGGAGAGACCAAGATGGACAGGACCCCTTCCTGGAGAGGAATTTGTAATGGGAACAGAGTAAGCACATGAGTTCCCAGAGCTGGGAGAGGCTCCAGCATTGAAGAAACCCTTTTCCACCCTCTCAACTCTCTGACAGTGTGGGGCTTCGCTTCAGTGTTCTTTCCCAAGGTGATGAGGCATATGAAGGAGAAACTCATAGAAATCAAGGCTGTGATCATTCCCCCAACTGAGGCGTCACCAGAAATAGATGACCCTGGTGTCTCTGCACCTGCTCCTTAGCTGTTGCCTTAGTCAGCTTGAAACAGAAGTGACACAGGACACTGGCAGCTCCACCATCTATTGCAGAGAATCCTTCTAGAATCCTCTATTGGGCAAAGAACTACATTAAGAGTGACTTTCACCAGGGGTGGACACAGGAGGCTTAGAGAGTTGTGTCTCAGGGAAGGGGCTGGGACAGAGGGGAGGGGAAGAGAGGAGCGGTTGGCCCTCCCCCTTCAGCCGGAATCTCGGATTTCTCACCTCACTCTGCAGAAGCCTGCGGAAGGGCCCCACCAGAGCCCCGCAGGTGAGACTGGGCATTCACCCCATTTCCGATGCCTGTCCTGGCCCTGTGAGTGGACAGGCAGGATGCACCTGAAAGCGAATGGAACTAAGCAAACATCCTGGGGCTGAGGGTCATGTACAGACTCGTCTCAGATTTTTCTCTGAAGGTTCTTGTCTTCAAACACCAACTTTGATTACAGAATCACATGGAAACCACACAGAAAATGTTTTAAAGCACTTAGAACACCAGGGCCTTCACATAGCACTACAACTTCTATTAAACTCAGCCCTCTGGGCCCTCATGGCGGTACAGGCATTAAGTCTCAGCACTATGAAGCTATCTGCAATCACTGAGTGACCCACATGGCGCAGCAGACCTCTCCTGTCTCCCTGCTGCTCCCCTCAGCAGTGTGTTTCAACCGATCTGACTGTTCTGCCCCCCGACTCTCCCTGGTAAATGCTCTCACTGCCTCCCCCCACCACTGCACCTCTGGCCTACACCCCAGTTCTTATTTGCATAAATAAAATCTTAAAAAACCGTCCTCCCTCTCAGCCTTACTTCTCTGCACCTGTTGAAGTGATCCAAGATACACGTGAGGGTGGCAGGTGTGGAGGGGGCTGGGGCAGTGCAGTGGTCCGTGGGCACCAGAGGGCCAGTGTGGGCATCAGGAAGGAGTGCTTCCTGCTGTGGCGTGGGTACCAGACTTGCGCGGTGGGGCGCTCGGTGACACTCCTGTCGGCCAGCTCCTCAGTCTCAGCCGCTCTTGCCAGCCCGTGCCCACCTCCACGCTAGACTAAGGCCAGGCCACAGGCGGGAGCGCCTCCTTTTCTTTTCCCACGGAGTCTTGTCCTGGCACATTTGTTGCTGTTACTGCCAGGTGCTTGTGCTCTAGTTTGCTTAAGCTTTTCTTTGTCTCCGTCTGGCCCGCAGCAGGGTGGCTGGGCTTTGAATATGTCAGCCTGGGCGTCCAGTAGACCTCTGGGGTGATAAGGCGGTCTCCGTCCTCCAGGTGCAGGAAGCGAAGATTTATTTCCTGCTTTTAGGGAGACAGATAATGGGCCCAGCATCGTTCTTGCGTTTGCAGTTTCTCAATTGTTTTTGTTCACAGTAGTCAGCTGTGTCATGGGCACCAGGGCAGCCTGTCCAGTGGGCTCCAACACCCCCCTGGCCACACAGCACAAACCAGACCTTACAGCCCAGAGAGCCCAAAATATGCACTATCTGGCTCTGTACAGGAAAGTTGCCCCTGCTCTAAGTCAAAATTAGATGGTGCGTGAGGGCTGTGTGAGCTCTGATCACAGAGTAGGTCCCATAAAGATTCGCTAGCTTCCAGCTACAGGCTGGGATTCTCGAGTGCCCCAGAGCTCGCTGGTGACCAAGCAAACACCGCCTGCCAGCAACTAGGCCAGCAGGGCTCCCCACCCCTCCTCAGCAAGCATCCTCTCTCCCGCTGGGGCTCCCTGCATTAGCCTGGGCGCTGCCTTGCCCAGAATGGGCCGGCCCCTCAGCTCCCGGTGGGCTTGCCGGCCTGCCTGGAGGGAGGAGGCTCCCTCTGCAGTTTACCATCAGGGCGTGCCCACGGCCTGGCAGGGAGGTTCCCAGGCAAACAGGTGAGACCTAGAGCCATTCATCCCAGGTGCCCCTGAGCTGGCTCCCTCTTGACTGCCCATCGCAGACCCGAAGCCCGGCGGCCTCTTGAGGACAGCCATGCCTTATCTCTACCAGACCCCCGGGCCCCAGAAGCCTCCAAGTCCCAAGGACGCTCGCATCACCCACTCCTCGGGCCAGAGCTTCCAGCAGCTGAGGCAGCAGTGCTTGCAGAAGGGCGTGCTGTTCGAGGATGCCGACTTCCCGGCCAACAGCTCCTCTCTCTTCTACAGCAAGAAGCCCCAGATCCCCTTCGTGTGGAAACGGCCAGGGGTGAGTGCAGCCAGAGGTGGGGGCGGCAGGGGAAAGAGGGCAGCAGGGGATGGGGGGGCAGGGGGAAGCTGTGCATAAACCTGCTGCTGGAGTCCCCCCCCCCCCACCCCAGGAAGCCCGTGCTTTGATGGCTGGAAATGGTGTGCAGGCAGCACAGAACAGCCAGCTGACGGAGGTGGGGGTCAGGGAGGGATTCCAGGGCTCCTGCTGCATCCGGCCGGGCTCTCTGCCCCCACGAGGTCAGGACTCGAGCCTGGAGTGTCTCGGTAGCGTGAGTGGAGGTCAAGGCTTTATGAAGGGTGAGTTGGCAAGTCCCAGGCCCACCAAGGGGGAAAGAGTGGGGGCAGCCCAGCCCCCCACACCGAAGCCGTGTCTGTCAAGTGCTCCAGAGTCCAGGATGCTCTGTGTGGACGGGGCCTCACAAAGCAAGTGTGCAGTGATTCTATGATAGGGGTGTACAGGAAGCACAGGGTCCCCCAACACAACCCACGCCAGCCCGCCCCTAGCAATCTGGGCGATGGTCCCAGGGGTCCCAGCAGGTGCCTGGGACAAAGAGTCATATTTACTGTGCTGGGTCAGTAAGCTCAGCCTCGGACTGGGCGGTGCTGGCCCTCATGCCTAAGGGGTGGCAACCCACCTGGGAGTGCCCCCATGGGGGTGGGCTGCAGACAGCAGGGAGAGCTGGGACACAGGTGAGACCCTGCCACCCACGTGTCCTGTGATGGTGCCCCGCCACTCCACTCCCCATGCCCCAGTCTCCTCCCCTGTGAAGCTTGACACTAGTGGCCTAAGTAGAGACAGCGCTGGGCACGCGGTTGCAATAGATGACCACGTCTGTCCTGCTGTGGGTCCCGGCATCAACGTCGTCATGGTCACTTGCTCTGAATCTCACCGGGTTTGCCTTTATTCTGTCTTCCTACATGAAAATAATGAAAATGTTTTAAATGTATAACCTGTCTATTTAAAACACACACACACACACACACACACACAATCCTGGAACTCCAGGGCAGAGGTCAAGGTACATGCCGGCTGTTTATGCAGCTCTTTATTGCTGTTTCCTGACACAGGGTGTGTGTGCGCATGTGCACTTAGCTGCTTCCCTGTCGGAGACCCTTTGTTCCCCAATCACGGATTACTGGGGGGCAGAACAGGCAGGGTCTCAAGGTGGGAACGGTGTCAGAGAGTAGAGATTCCTAGAAAAGGGGGAAAAGGAGAAAAAGGGGAAAGGGGAGCGAGGAAGACACAGGAATCGGAGTTGGGTGCAAGTCTTCCTGTTCTGCCTTTAGCAGAAGTTTATTTTATACATTAGGAGCGAGCAGCGGGATGACATCAGCACACGAACTGGGCTGAGAGATTACAATCATCTTTTTTTCTAAGAACAGTTTAGGGTCGTATTGCCCTTTAGCTGAGCTATAACATTCATTATTCTTAAAATCAATGTATTAAAGTTAAGATAGGTACATAAATTCATAAAATTTAAAGCTAACATTGTTATATTTACTACAGTGTTGATTGGCTAAAATAAAGTCCCTTTAAACCTTAAATGCTATTTAATGATCTTCACTCTCATTGAGACATCCTAGAGGGTAAAGGAAAGTGGAGGGCTAGGGTGGAGTCTGGGCTGGAGATGTGAAGGGGGATAAGGTGAGGTCTGACCACGGAGAAGTTGTAAAAGAGGATAAAGTAAGGTGGAGGGCTAGGCTGGAGGAGTTTTCAGGTAGATAAATCACTAAGGGAGATAATAAGATTCCTGATTTAAAGACTGAGCAATAAAAGCTTAAGTAAGAGAGTAGAGTGATAAGATTTGGGTTCTGGTCTGGGCAGTAAAAGAACTTTAATTTCTTTTTCTTTAGCATGTTCTAGTATTGCCTTGTCTTACAATATTGATTTTGTTATAATTGTTTTTCTTAATCAGCCAGTTGTAATATTATTTTTTGCTTTCTAGAGGAATTTCCTATCTTGGGCAGTGCTTGCTCACCTGAGCCAGGCAGCCTTATGAGGCTAAGGCAATCTGGCTGTAAGCTGATGGTTGCTTAGAATATTTTGATATCACAAAAAGGGAGGTCATAACAAAGTTAGCGTGGAAATTCTGATTTTTCAGAGCACTTCCGTCTCTATCCAGAATATGTCAGTCGATAGAGATTGCATAGCTTGTATCACTTTCCATTCTCCCTGATTCGTATGTAAACTGCTTCTGGTCTTCTAGTATTTTCCTAAACCTGACAAGGCTATCACTGAGTGTCTCAGGCTTTCTTTGGAGACATTCTAGTTACTTCCTTCCCTCCCACTGGCCTCCCTGCCTCCACTCTTAGCCCATGGAGCCACCCCCTACTGCCTGCAGGGACCATGCCAGCCCCGGCTCAGCGCCCTCTCTGGGCTCAGCACTGCATAGCAACAAGGCCTGGAGTCCCCAAGGCCCTCACCCTCCCACAGCCTCTCTTGTCCCCGCACCCGCAATACTCTGTGCCCCAGCCTCTCATGGCAGGGGAGCCCCAAGCACATGTCCAGACCCGGCCCTAACCCCACCCCCTCACTGCTTCTTCGGAATGGAGAACTTGGTCTCATGCTCGGTGACCCTCCCAGGGAGGCTTTCATCTCCCCCAAGCACACTGGGTTGTTTTATTTCCAACTTATTCTGTTTTTTAAAGATTTATTTATTTGTGCACACAGAACTGGGGTACAGGCCAGAGGCTCAGGGGCGGTGAGAGGCTTCACCAGAGACAGAGTGGGGAGTAAACAGGCAGATTGACGAAGTACACTGCTGAGGGGAGCAGCAGGCGAGACAGGAGAGGTCTGCCGCACCATGTGGTCTCCTCCAGGGCAGGAGGGAATCGAACTCATGTGCAAGCGGCTTTAGCTTCTCAGTGCTGTGCTTTAACCTGCTGCGCCACCAGGGAGGGCCCCAACTTATTCTGTTTTAATGAAACCAAGTGTTGCCTGTGGCTCCCCCCTTTAGAGCGGTTCTCCTGTGAAGCTGGTGCTGGCTTTCCTGTCAGAACCCCATCGCACCCTGAGCCCCCTGCACAGTCTCCAACATTCTACATTACATCAACAACAGGCAGTGGCTATGACTGGGCAATACCCAACCCTATCCCATCCCATCCCATCCCATCCCATCCCATCCCATCCCATCCTATCCTATCCTACTCTATCCTACCCAATATACCTGGATTAGCTCCCTCAGTCCCTACGAGCTGGGCACTATTATCATCCTCTACCAACGCAGAAACTAGAGCCATGAGCTTTCCATCTCCCAGCTCACCCTCAGCAGCGCCAGGGTCCTGTCCAGGCTGGTCACAGTGTCAGGCTGGAGTGGAGCAGATCTCACCACCTGCAAGCAACATGGTGGAGCTGGGCTATGCCACGAGCTGCCTCAGCCAGCCCTCCCACACCTTCTGCGGAAGACAGCACTTCCACCCTACAGACAGTGTCACAGCTCGTTGACATGTGGCCCCATGAAGGCCCCAGCCCAGTGCTTTGGGTGCTCTGGAGCTGGGAGAGTCCTTCAGAGTTATCTGGCATTGGGGTGACAGGCCTGTGTGTGTCTGCACCCCTGGTTGGTGAGTCACTGGATGCTGTAAGCCAGCCCCACCCAAGAGGTGGTAGTGTATTCAGTAATCCCCAAAGAGCAGGCCCTCTGCGCAGTGGGAACAAGCCATGCACCTACAGTGGGGGCACCCCAGCAGCCACATGGAGCCCTGCTTTCTCTTCCATGCAAAGTGGTATCACTGCTTCTGTGAGGGCTGCTGCAGGGCTGGTGTGTTAACACGTGTGGAAAAGCCCAGCAGGTCAATAAGCCATTGCTCTCCACCCCAGTGCCCTCACCCCCACACAGCGAGGAACCTTCCCTTGCAGTCTACACTGCCACCCCCTGGCTAAAAGTGTAACCTACAGAATGACAAAGCCTCTGCCAAGTTGGAATTACCCCAAGATGAAAGCTGGCTGCAACAGGCCTCCCTCTTCTGGAACGAGGGCCGCCAGGACCTCACAGTGATCTCAGAGCCCCAGATACCGGCTCTAGGCCATGACTGTCTTCACTCTCCTCTCAGGGTTGCCCCCAGATAATGGGTGATGCTTCCATCCACATACCAGGGCCCCTGAAGCTCTTGGGCTCCTCTGTTCATCGTGAAGGGCATGAAATTCTTTCGTTTCTTTACTCAGATAAACTGTGTTGCTGTCTGGCCTGTGCACCTGTGTCCAGAATCTGTCCTGCCCTTTGCTTTGTCTGCAACTGAATCACTCCCAGAAACACGCCTTTCTCTGTTTCCTATTCAGGTGGGCTAGGGGGTTTACATTACACCTTCCAGACTTCTGTAAGGTCAAGTGCAAAGGCTTGGGGCTCTTCTCGCAGGACAGAGGTTCAAGTGCCTTGGAATGAGAGCTGGGGAGTTGAGGTGGGGCTACACGGAAGTGGTAAGAGATGCCAGGGTCCCTCCAGGAGACCTCTGATGTTTGCATTTCTGCTCAGAGGTGGCTGGTGCATTTCCCAGCAACACTGCTCAGCTGTCTGGTGGGGCCGTGGGGCGGGTGCTCTCGCTGGCACTACCTTCTTGTCAAACACAACTGAGCTTGGGTCGGGTGTGGTTCACAAAAGCAGCCAAATAACAAAGTCAAGCAGACATCAGCGTGGTGGGACATCAGGGGCCCAGGCGAGGGCTGGCCCCGGGTGAGGTGGGCTCTGGGGCAAGAGTGGAACAGCAGGTTCAACACAGAGAGCTGCAAGATCACTGCCAGACTCTTCCCAGGGGTGAACATGAGTGAGGTGTCGTGGGTCTGGGAGCTGGGTGAGGGGGAGACAGAAAGCCCAGCACAGCACAGCCAGGTGGGACTGATCACTGTTCTTCCCATCTACCCACACCCATCCTCTTTCTTCCACATAATTTCCTCCCTCATTTCCCAGCCTAAACCCAGGCCACCTCCGCTGCCAAGGCCTCTTATCATTTTGCCCAGGCTGCTGGCTTCTGGGACGCGTGGCTGGGAGCCCCTACACAGGTCTGGCTCTGTGTGTGGCTCTGGTGGCCCTCACAAGCCGTGGCCCTTGTCCTTATGTGTCTCTCAGCCCTGCTGCACAGGGGACCCACAGCACTGTAAAGCACAGGGGCAGCCTTCTGGCCTCATCAGAATGTGGCTTTTCCCTTTCTTTCTTTCTTTTTTTCTTTCTTTCTTTCTTTCTTTCTTTCTTTCTTTCTTTCTTTCGTTCTTTCTTTCTTTCTTTCTTTCTTTCTTT